TAGTGAGCGTAACATGCAGGCAACGTCGTATGCGCGCGAAATACGTTGGCAGCACTGGCTGTAAATCAGCTGGTCAGCTGTTGTACTGTTGTATTTGTCACTTCACATTAACACGTTCGCTACTGAGCGTCGCATATATGCGACGCCGCGGTCATTGCCACAGACCGAGGTATACATTTGAATCTTACACATAGACCGTCTGTCACTTGGATCAGTGCACACAGACCACGGGCGAAAACCTGTAAAACAGTGATCATTTACATTGTAATACGCTACAATCGTGTTTGTAAATAAATTATTCTTGTTTTTTGTATTTTTTATAACCTTTAGTAATGTCGCATATTTGCGACGCCCGGTCTACAGCGAAGACAATAGTGAAAATTATCATAGTTTTCTTGAAATAGACTAAACGTCGCATATATGCGACAGTTCATTTTTTTGTGTTTTAAGGTGAAAGTAAGTAAAAAATAAACAGGTTATTCAACAACAGTTTATAACTGAACAAATATAAAAGCTAAATAGGATAATGCAGCATACATACTGCACACATACATACAGTGATGCAGAAAAGTAAAGACCCGTTTTTCCAACTATTATATGACGTCACCAATCATCATATCCACAGACCAAGCGACGCAGTTGTGCGTCAGACATCTCTGTAGACCACTGCAGGGAATTCAGTGCCTTCAAATAGACCACTACAAAGATATAAGCATTTTAATAACATTAGAACCCCGACTCAAATATGCGTCGGCAGTCTATTTTAATGTGACTAGCCGTCGCATATATGCGACGGCAGTCTATGGGTGGAAACCGGCCGTCGCATATGTGCGTCGCTGGTCCATGTGAATGGAAAATTTCGTACTATTGCAGTAGCGAACGTGTTAAATGTTATATTAAAAGTTCATTTCTGTGTAAAAATAGGTTATGTTTCTTCACAAATTTATTTGTTTTATGGTTAATGGTTTATGGTAACTGTAAGAAAAGTATAATGTGCAACTCGAGTTCAAAGTACAATTGCCTCACTCGAGAAACCATTCCTCACTCGCCTACGGCTCGTGAGTAAGGATTTCTCTCGAGTGAGTCAATTGCTCACTTTTCTCACTAGTTGCACAAATAACTATTTACCATATTCTCCGTAAGAATAACATGGGGATTTTAAATTTCAATTTGTTTGAATTTTCCTGGTTACCAATAATTACAAAAACCCTTTGATATACTAAACTATTTGTTTTTTTAAGCTCTTACAAAAGATCTAGAGAGATTTTGGGAAATTTTACGTTTTAAGGGTCAAAAATGGAAAAACAAATTTTAAAAGTATAAAATAACTTATAAATAAAAAAACTTTTCAAATGCCATTATCAAATACTTATCAAATGACTTTTTTTAAATGGCGGCCAAAAAACCGTATTTTGCGTAACAGTACAAATGTATATTTTTAGTATGTTTTTTAGAAGTGTATTACCTACCATTTCTAACTGGAATAATTTATGTTGCAATTAGTTCCACCTCAAACACTATTTCTACTGCACTAAAAGTATTAAGTATCAAAAGAAACAAAAAAACTTTCAAAACACTATTTTAATAATACATTTGCAGTGGCGAGTTCTAAGTCTCACTTAGATGAATCAACATCATTCTGGTAGTCTATATAATTTTAAGATCCGGGATTACTTTTACCATCGAATTGAACCGTTAATACCCTCTAACATTGAACCAAAGTATGCCCAACTTTATACATATGACGTTAACACAGCTGTTACTCACAGAATGGGTCAAAGATGTGACCAACTGCTGATGTGTGATTTAGGTGACTATCTTTATTTCATACAACGAATGTACGGTAATCAACAAAAATCAACGAATGTAGGAATATGCATGAACAAATTATCTCCATAGAATAAGAAGCTTATTAGGTTATCAGCGTTGCACAGTTCGTACATTACTTATCTATATATTATTAATTTGAAACTGTTTTTCTTTGTCACAGCTATTTTGAGAGAACAGCTGGGCGTAGAAACTCGGTAGAGGTGTCTAAAGAAAGGTCTTGGTCTGTAGATGAGCCATCAAAAGAGAAACATGGTGAATTCCCTTGGGGCTCTGCCCCCGTGGCCTTTAAATTCCCATCCCATGTTATTCTTATGGAGGAAAACGGGGTTTTTGTCACAGCTACTTTGAGAGAACGGCTGGGCGTAGAAACTTGGTAGGGGTCTCTAAAGAAAGGTCTTGGTCTGTAGATGAGCCATCAAAAGAGGAAAGAGGTAAATTCCCTTGGGGCTCTGCCCCAGAAGCCTTTACAGTTGCCTCTTCAGATTTGTTTACATTACGACCATATGCATAATTCTAAACTACTTTTTAATGCAACAGCTGTTAATATTTAAATTGTGATTTATTGAATTTGTCAAAATGAAGTACAGTATTTGAAATGGATTTTTCTGATTTTAAAATTGATTTTCTTCTGCATCGTGTCATGTTTTGCAATATAATGTTCTATTACCAAATCAGTGGAAAATCCTAATATCACAGTAACTTTTAAAATGATTTCTTATGGAGTTAACTTATATCTATTGTATGGGTTGGTTTCTGCCTTTTTTACCACTTCTTGGAGATTTTACGTAGGTTATATTCTTTGGCATATTGCATTTGTAGACGAAACTTGGGTTGGTGTAATTATTACAATGGAAAAGAGCGAGAAATCCTGGACAATTTGATATAGTATCTGATAGTATATAGTATATATACTATCATATATAGTATATATAGTATATAGTATTTTTATAGTATTTGATATTGTATAAAAATAAAACTGAATTAACACTGTGCTACATTTCTTGAGCAATCATTGAAATAACCAATTTGCAAACAATGGAAACATAGAAAAAGTCATAGAACACAACCAAGTAGAAGAAATAGAAATAATGTTTTTTTTACACTAAAAACACTAAAAAAAACAAGATCAGCTTTTTGAAAAAAGATAAGATATTTACAAAAGATTTTGATTATATCTAACTGTTGTGTAGATCGTGAGTATTTCCATAATCTTTCAGTCGGATGTAATGCTTCGCAATTGCTCGAATTCGAGCAACAGGTACACTAGTTTTTTAAATGAAACTCAAATTAATATAAACCATTCATTTTGTTAAACTAATAAATGGGTTTATATTAACATAAATAGTTTATACAAGCCAACTATCAGTTCTATTTCATGTAGAAAAATAAGCAGCCCCTAAATAAAATATAAAGATAAACAGTATTTGTAAATTATTATGTCTCTTATTGCTGACAATATTCCTGAGCACGGGCGATTAACTAGTTATATTAAACGGGACTGGTAAATAAGTAGAGCATTATGGCGTGGCTCTACACTTACCAGGGTTCGTATCATCTCGTGATTTTAATATCGGCTGTCGCCAGATATTGGTTTGTACAGAGTCGTATAGCTAACATTTCGTGGGTGAAGGACGACTGACTGACTGGGGCGCTTCTCCTCTACCGCCCCTGGCGTCGGGGTTGAGAACTACGGTCATCCCCTCCATATGACGTCACTATGTCCAGCGTTTGTTGTGGCCTTTTCATGAAACAAAACAAATCAATGTATTTGGGATGACCGTGAAATATTACCCCACGTTAATTTTTGACCCGTTACAAAGCCATTTGAACCAACGATCTAATTTTAAGCATTAGCCATACACTAAAAGCCAGCTGGACCAAAAAATTTAACAATAAAATCAAACTCTCTTCCCCCAAATGGTGTTTCACCTCCATTGAAATGGAGTGAGTGGGTAAAACAAAATTACATGTACAGACTGAGTAATTGTTATTTTCATTACTCTACACACGAAAGTTCACTTTCTAAACGTAAAATTAGCTAAGAAAATAGGTTAATCCCGCTACTGCACGGTAAAATTACATAGCATTAATTTTCTGTGCATTTGTAGTGCACACGGAAAGTAACCGTTATGTGATTTTGCGGTACAGGCTGATCAGCTGTTGCATAACACTGAGTTTCTGTGCGTATATGTACCTTGACATGGTTTTATTTCTTGATACTAAGTTGAATAAACAAAAATATTCATTTTGTTTAAAAGTTTTTCAATATCGTAATGAACAATACTCGTCTCAAAAGTGCCATTGTGGTGCTCGATAGCTTTTTCCAAAAATGCAATCTCTCCCTGCAATAAGTTACTTTCGAGACTAGTAATGAGAACCAACTACTATAAAAGTAAGTAAGCCATCTCCAGAGATTTTTCCAAAGCTATCTAGAATTAAATGTTAACAAGCTGCTATACCCGTGCTTTGCAAAGGGAAGAAAATGTGACCTATAGAGCTATTAAAGTGCTGCTGATGTGTTTTAAAATACAGCAACTCTATGATTTAGCTTGAAAATATAAACTGATTTAGAAGCGTAAACCTACTTACTTTCAAACCCCTACTTTTGATGCTAATAGATCCATAAGAATATGACAACATACCTTAGTGTAGCATTAGCATCAATTTCTTCATATTGATGCATCATGAATGACATGTTTTACCATAATCCTTCAATTTTAGTCAAGCTTCTTCACATGTAGCTTACTATATAAATTAAAAAATTAAACTTTGAACAATAATTTACAAAACGTATACAACCTAACTTTAAAACCAAATATAACCCTCCTCAATCTACATCAAGCGTCACAAACATATTTTTTGAGTAAATAAACAAATGCCAGTTCATTGTACTGACCAGCTGTTTCATTAACTAAATTAAATTAAATCATTTAAACAATGGAAGCATGCCAGGCGTAGCCCTTTGGAAATCATCCTGTGGGGCAGAGCCCTTAGGTAATTCGTCCATTCAATACTTTTCGGCAAATCTATACACTCTAAGCTTCATTTTTATGTGCCATATGGCTATATTTTTATTTGGTAAATGACCTTAACCGTTTACATAAAATTTGATTGTATCACTTTAATAATATAATAGATGCTCATAATTACACTAGAACCATATGTTTTAGTTTCCTTGTAGGAGGGGATGGTGCTCTATATGAAGGGAGGGGCTTTACTACTGTTGGAAGATCTTACCCTACCACTGCTAACAATCTTCAGGATCTGTCCAAGAACTGTTTAGAAATCGCTTTTATACAAACAAGTGGTAAGAAATCATACAATACATATTTTACAGTTTAATTTTTCTACTATTAAGTAAACTATATTTCCTTCCCAATGTTTAGGCGGTTTGAGGGGAAGATCCCCCACCACTTGTTTTGTATTTAATGTATGAGGCTTAATCAGCTGTTAAACTATTATTTTAAAGGTAAGTGTCAAGTGGAGGGAATAGACTTCTTCCCCTAAAACTGCCTAAATATTGTTAAACAAAAGTATAGTGTACCTGATGCTCGAAATCAAGAAATTGTCAAGTATTACAGGAGTTATTTCAAAACTAATTACAGTCATAATTTTTGACAAGTTTAAAAGAATCAACTCAAAGCTTATGTATCTAATGGCAAACCCCTTACTTTTCATAACAGTTATATATAGTCAACATTTCTTGGAAATATTTGATCATTTTCAGAAAACTGACCTTCTTTTTACTTTCTCCCCCTATACCATAGTATATGGAGAAAGTATTGTTTTCGTCAAAATTTTCGAGTTTGAGTTTTGAGTGGATATATTCGTTTTGGGTCCCCCTGGACCCAAAAAAGTGGTTTTCGAAGTGATGTCTGTGTGTGTGTGTGTGTGTGTGTCTGTGTGTGTGTCTGTGTGTGTGTCTGTGTGTCTGGATGTGTACAGAGCTAGAGACTACACCTGTGGTCCGATTTAAATGAAATTTGGTATGTAGGTTCTTTTCCATGGTATCTCCAGCGATTTTTTCATTTTTTTGAAATTTTGATTTTTAATGGGGATTTTCCCATAAAAACCCATAAAAAACCGGAAAAATCTGATTTTCTCAAAAATGGCCGGAACGATTTTAATAAAAATTTAGTATGTTGTAGCCCTTTAAATTCTGAACAAAATGGTACAAATCCCATTTCTGTAAAAATTACGGTTCAAAAGTTATGGTAAATTATGTTAAATTTGTTAATAATGCTGATACCGTTTATTTTACAAATGTTTCCCGACTAACCCATAGCCGCATAAAGTTGTCCATGTTATCTTCGTCATTAGTAGGCCTAGTCTAGATGGTACCACCATCGTCGCCAATATGTTTACATTTTTTAGCGAATTTCCCTATAGGGAAGTAGCTATTACCGTAGGTGGCACGGTAAGACCTAGACCCGGGACCGATTTACTTTTTCATTTTGATGTCCCCAGAGGCCAAAAACACTATTCGTTCAAATTTTTATATATGTATATATATATATATATATAGACTTATATATATATATATACGTCCGTGAACGCGATAACTTGAGTAATTTTTGTCCGATTTTGATGAAATTTGGTTTAAAGGTGTAAAGCGGGATAAACTTGAATGAGTTCGCGAACCAGCACGATCGGACCATGGGAACGGGGCTTTACGGGGGGGGGGGGGGGGTTTATGGGGTAAAAATTGGTTTTTCTCACTTTTGACCCTCAAAACACAAAATTTCCCAATTTCTCTTTAGACCTTTTTAAAGAGCTTAAAAAAACAAATAATTTAGTATATAAAAGTATTTTTGTTCGATTATTAGTAACGGAGAAAATTTAAAAAATTGTAAATTTAAAATTCCCATGTTATTCTTATGGAGAATATTGTCAAATGTTGTAGTTTGCTTGTTTATGAATATATTTTTATCAAACTTGGCAAATTTATTTATTTTGTACTAAGCTATCAATATTTTACTCAAAAACACACTTTATTAGTTTCCTTTTAGCAGCAAACCTAGGTACTCGTTAAACCTAATGCTATTAAAATATATTTAACTGAAAATCAATTCAGACAAATGGAAATTCGCTTAGTCGGCAGGTTTGCTGCGGCGGGGGTATTTTATTTTTTAAATAGTGATACAAATTGTTCATATTACTCAAGTACTACCCAATTTCCTGCATAATCTATCTGTCACAATTTTATTTGCAAAAAATACAGTACTGAGTGAAAATTAAAAAACGTACGTTTTCAGGAAAAGCACTTTGCAAATTTTTTTCCCCTTTTTTCAAAACTTTTATTATTTTTTTTATTTCATTAACATTTGAAGTTTCATAAAATGTCCATGGTAACGCAATATCTTTGGTAGTTTATTTTAAAAAGAGCATCTTTAGTGGAAAAACACAAAATCCTGTCACGACCATAACAGATGTTTAAATGAATATTAAAAATAGTTAATATTATTTTTATAACTATGTTTTGCTATAAACTAATTTACTTTTATGACCATTATACAATAAAAAGGTCACTGAGCTTTTGGTATATTTGGTCTTTCTAGAAAAAAATAAAAAAACTCAAAAAATTGAAAAAAAGCCAATAAAATCTTTTTAAGTTTGTATAATTTCGAAAAAACTTACCTGAGACCCGAAAAAACGTTATGTTTGTATAGAGGTGTGCTTCTTTTGTGTATAAAACATTGAAATATGACGATATTTTAATTTTTGAAATTTTTATGATAGAAATCATAAACATGATGGTCAGGGACAAGCGGTACGGTCGTGAATTTTCTGAAATAATCTAAATCTTTCTAAACAATCCTTCAATTATACTGTTAGTTATAATAAAAATATGTGTTTCAATTGAACTAAACTGTTCAATTTACAATTATATTAAAGTTATTGTCACGACCAAACACACTATAATCCATAAGGCAAGAACTGCCTTTGATGCGGGGAGGTGGGTCACACTCGTAGGGACTGTAAAGTCGAGACCTGTTTCCTCTGTAAGGAGAAAGGTCTCAATGATAAAAACGCTAAACATATAGCTGGGTCTGGGCAGTGCAGTGCATTTAAAGGCGCACTACAACAAGCGAAAGCCCAACCACGAAGATAAGGATCCTCCAGTGCAATGTAGATCGATACAGGACGGCTGACGCGCTTCTCAGTCAGCTTGCCCTCGAACACGGTGTTGACACGCTCTTGGTCAGCGATCAGTACCAGTACCGGGACAGGGACCCATCTCTTTGGTTTCCCGATACACTTGGTACTGCTGCGTTCTGGGTACATAATACAGCTAAAGTGCAGGTGAGGAGTCACGCGAAGGGCCGAGGATTCGTTTGGGTCCGGTGCGGGGATGTCACTTACTTTAGTGTATACCTCACCCCCAACGAGGCTATCCGTGACTTTCGTGGAAAGATAGACCGCCTGGAAGAGGGCGTGCGCGATACCGCCGGGCACGTTGTCGTGGCGGGGGATTTCAATGCTAGGGCTGTCGAGTGGGGAATGACTCTCACTAATTCCCGGGGGAAGTACATCCTGGACTTTGCTGCCAGGGCTGGACTTGTTGTCATAAACGAGGGCAACACGCCAACTTTCCAGCGTCCCGGAATGAGGGGATCGATCCCAGACATCACGCTTGCATCTGAGTCCCTCTTGCCGAGGATACGAGCCTGGAGAGTCCTAGAGGATTATACGGCCAGTGACCACCAGTACATAATTTTTGATGTCCTGGATAGTCATCAGAGACAAGCTACCGTGTCTCGGCAGGTGCCCGTTCGGTGGAACACCAAAAAGCTGGACGTGGCCAAATTCACCGAAGTCATACTACGGGGAGAGCCAGTGGTACCTGCTGCTTCTGGCGTGGCTCACGCAGAGACATCAGTTACATCATTGATGAGGCTGATAGTCTCGGCCTGCAAAGAGTCAATGCCTTGCAGGAGAACCCGGTGCGATAAGCGACCTGTGTACTGGTGGACAACCGAGATCGCAGAACTGCGACGGGCAGCATTGAGAGCCAGACGTCTTGCTACCAGGACCAGAGAACCTGAAGATAGACGTCTTAAGTCTGATGCTTACAAGGTGGCTAGGAAGTCTCTTTCCCGGGCCATTAACCGGAGCAAACGCAGTTGCTGGGAGAAATTAAGGGACGATGTCGATTCCGATCCGTGGGGCCTGGGTTACAAGATAGTAACCAAGAAGCTTGGCACCCGCTCTCCACCTTCCGTTATGGACGGGGCCTCTATGGAGAGGATCGTAAAGTCCCTTTTCCCGACTCACACACTGCGCCCATTGCGGGAGTTCGGAAGGGTGGACGACGTACCGCTGTTCAGTCTCGAGGAGTTAGAGGCTGCCGTTCTATCCCTGAAGAACAACAAGGCTCCTGGACCGGATGGGGTACCTGGTAAGGCCCTGAAGAAAGTCTTTTCAATAAATCCACAAATCCTTTTGAGCACGTACAATGCCTGTCTGGCCGAGGGAAAGTTTCCCTTCTGCTGGAAAACAGCTAGGCTTGTGCTCGTGGGGAAGGGAAAAGGAAACCCAGACTTACCCTCCTCTTACAGACCTCTCTGTATGTTGGACACTGCTGGGAAAGTCTTGGAAAAGTTGATCCGTTCCCGACTGAATTCAGCCGTGGTAGCTGCAGGAAATCTATCCCCTCGTCAGTACGGCTTCAGGAAGGGATGGTCAACGGTTGACGCTATTGAGGAGGTAAAGCGAGCCGTAATGAGAGCTGAGGAGTTTAACAACTATTCTCATCGGGTTGTGCTGCTTGTAACACGATGTGCGAAACGCATTTAATTCTGCGAGGTGGTGCGATATGCTGGACGCACTGGAGAACACCACGTCCCGGCATACCTCATGCGCATGATAGAGGACTACCTCCGGTACCGCCTCATCATTTACGACACTACAGAAGGCTCCAGGACGATGGATGTAACTTCTGGTGCTGCTCAAGGATCCATACTGGGCCCGGACCTCTGGAACGTCGCCTACGACAGCCTCTTGAGATCCGAGATGCCTGATGAAACTGTCCTAGTTGGGTATGCAGATGACGTTGCGGCTTTAATAGCTGCACGTAGCATTGAGCTTGCCCAGCTGAAACTAAATCGAGTCATGCGAACCATTAACGCATGGATGGCAGAACATGGTCTCTTGCTCGCTCTGAGCAAAACTGAGATTGTGATTCTGACTAAAAAGAGGATTGACACCATCGTGCCCTTGATGGTGGGGAACGTTGAAGTCCAAACCATTCGTGCCGCAAAGTAACTTGGGGTCATGGTGGACAGCAAGCTCAGCTGGCGAGACCAGATCACCCGTACGGCGGACAAGGCCGCTAAAATGGTTTCTTCCCTTAGTCGGTTAATGGCCAATGTCGGAGGTCCGCGGTCCAGCCGCAGAAGGCTGTTGATGTCTGCGGTCCAGTCCGTACTCCTGTACGGTGCGGAAGTCTGGGCAGACGCTCTCAACAAGGAGATATACAGGATGCGGCTCGCCCGAGTGCAGCGTCAGGCAGCACTAAGGGTAGCATCTGCCTATCGAACAGTGTCCGAACCTGCCGTCCTGGTGGTTGCTGGAGTCATCCCCGTCAAACTTTTGGCGGCGGAGAGGAAGGCAATTTATCAGCGCCGTGGGGAGGACCAGGCAAGAATTGAGGAACGCACCCGGACCTTCCAGCTGTGGCAGGAGAGCTGGGAACAGGAGACAAGGGGGCTCTGGACCAGGCGACTGATACAACAGGTCCAACCTTGGGTTAATCGGCGGTGCGGAGAGGTGAACTTCTACCTCACCCAATTTCTGACTGCTGTCGGTGGACACGGTCATACCGATGATGATGGAGGGTGAGGACAATTGGACCTGTGTGTCACTTTACATCCAGGGTGTTCTCCGTGCCAAGAAGCTTGACCTCGACCGGGATGCGGTGTAGGTCAAAAAAATAAATAATGCCAGAAACGGTGCGAGCCCTGTGGGCTTAGGTCACATGTTGGCCTGGCTTGAAGTAATGTGACAAACAATTCCAGGTCTGTGTCCAACAGAGTAGAGGGGGTTTTTTAGTGAGTAGTCTGTGATAAACTCAGGAGTCTCACACTACAGGCTGGCTACCTGTGTGCGTAAAAGCATTTTCCCTCCTCACCCTAAAAAAAAAAAAAAAAAAAAAAATAATCCATAAGGCTGGATTGGTTGTGAAAAAACCCGCGATGGTCGTGAAATTACGTATTATTTGGCTCTGTTCTGGCGGTAGCCCTGCACCTCATGTTCGAGGATACAAAATGGACTTCTAGGTTAATCTAGCAATTGAAATATCTTATAAACAAAAATTAACACCATGTCTACTTCATCAAATGACTACGTACGGTCATGGACACACCAAAATTACAAAAAACACAATCTTTCCTTTATTAATCTTGTAATTCCTCCTTTCAACTCGAAACGACCGGCACTACAATCCTGACGTACACCCTGAACTAGTCTCTAAAACCAACTGACTCCATCGACGCCAGGCTTGCCACTGTCGTGCTCCAAAGTTGAAAATCTTTTCCAAATGGTCGTGACGCCAAATCGAGGGACAGACTTATTTTGTCATGGTAGTCAGTTTGCAATGACAATAAAATTATAATATGCTCCTTTTTTGTAAGTTTAATAACCATTGATGACATAAAAATATGGATTTATAAATTTCGGCATGAATGATTAGTCTAAAAACAGTGTGAAAGTTGGAAAATGTACCCTAGGGACACGTCATGGTCGTGAATTTCGAGACTAAAAATACGAAAAAAATACCTAGAACCTATTTAAAACCAAATAAATGTGTGTAACATGTTGCCCCCGTCCCAAAAAATATTAAAACACATAATAATAAACTACAAATCCAGTATCTACGAAGTAAAAGGCCAGGGACATGAAAACGTACGTTTTTAAATTTTCAATCTACTGTGTCAATTCATTTTTCTTATTTGCAGAAAAATATCAAATTGTCCTGGCTTTCTTGCCTTTTCCCATTATAATATGTACATAAACCCAGATTCAAATTTGTAAATATTTAATTTAAACTAAGTCAGTAAATGTTTGTAGCATGTGTTTCCTTATAAAATTTTAACAGCCATTAAATTATAGTCCTACAGCTGATTGTAATGTAAACAAAAATGATAGCATGGGAACTTTAAACGCCACTGGAGTAGAACCCAAGGGACTTTATGTAAGAACTTATATAACATCTACTCAGCAACTGTATATTCCCAATGAGCCAGAAACTGAAAAAAGGTATCTACAGAGGAGTTCTAACCAAAAAATGTCAAGCTTGTCTATTTTATATGGGCTGTAAAGTAACTTACATCCCCCTTAACTTTTCAACCATTTGAGATATTTGAAATCCGGTTGTGACAATCTTCTTGTATATGAGAGGCTACAATAATAATGGTTATTTTGAAAATTTTGTCCTTAGGGGTAGTTTTTTTCCCCCTAGGATGTTAGGCACGAGCTGGGAATTGTTTTTCACATTACTTTAGGCTAGACCTAGGGGTTGCGGCATTATCACATAGATAAAATCCATTAGTGGCGGTTGGCGGGATTTGTACCCGGGACCTCCGGACCTCGGGTGGTGGGGGGGGGGGGGGGGTTAGCTCAAAATGTTTAAATGTTAAATTTTCAAAATGTTTTAACATCCTAGGGGGAAGTATAGTCGACTTTGGTATAAATTTACAGGCCTTGACAAAACTAAACAGTTGACATAAAGAAAACCATAATCGGACCCATAATTACAAAACGGCACCCTAAAACGGTTCAAATCCAATTAACCATGATTGGTCTATAGTTTGTGGTACCGGTACCCACATAATAAATTTCATCAAAATCGGTCCAAAGGTGTAGTCTGTAGCTCTCTGTACACATCCACATATAGACTCACAAGGACACGTACATCGGTCTTCACTTTGAAAACCACTTTTTTGGGTTAGGGGCACCCAAACCTCAAACTTGAAAATTTTGACAAATAAAAAGCTTCCCCATAAACTATGTATACTGCATAGGAGGAGATAGTAAACAGGAAAGGTGAACTTAACATGTATAATAAAGGGTGACGTAATCTTGTAAAAATCCACTGATAAACTTGATTAATTTTCAGACATGGAAACTACAGAGGAAATGCAAAATGTAGCATCTCACGTTATGACTCTGGGACGCCATGCTAACCACATATACAAAACATTTGACCTTTACTTCGTGGCCAATAATGACATTGTGCATAGAGAACGGATGGGAATAAAAGTAGCCGGTGAGTAACTATACTGCCCTTTCAATGCTATGCGACGGTATATCGTTGTGCGTCTTTTTCCCAAAAAGTGCTATGGAACGATATATCGTTATCACGTTTCATCTGAAAGTTCTATCGACGATATATCGTGCTGGGAGCGACTTTCAACCATGCAAGTTTAAATGGGCGAATTAGTTGACTTGGTTGTTGTTTTGAAACAGTGATGGTTTCTTTCAATTCCTCATACAATTGAGGCCTAATATATTGTTCCTTAGCACTATTGAGATGAAAAATTTCATTTTTACAGATTTTCAACCATTCAAGTTTAAATGGGCAAATCGGTTGACATGGTTGTTGTTTTGAAACAGTGATGGTTTCAATCAATTCCTCATACAGTCGTGGCCTAATATATTGTTCCTTAGCACTTTTAAAATAAAAATTTTATTTTTACAGATTTTTTCTCGCACTCTAGACATAACTCCGCTACAACATCAACCCAACTGCAGTAGTTGAATAATACTCTTGAATACATTACATATTACAATAAATACCAACATTTCCAAATGTCTCTACTATAGTTTAATAGGTTCTAAACTACACTATATGGACAATCTGAATATATTAGGTGGTGAAAAGTAAATACATTTTCAAATTATACAATTATCTTTTATCAATCTTAATGCCATCACCATGCTGAAAGTACGATGATGAGCAGCTGCTGTAAGGGACACACACTCACACCACAAGTTTGTTAAGTCTCAGAAGGTGAATGGTAGCTCAGTACAACCAGTGCCGGATTTACCATAGGGCCGCAAACAAAAGGGGGCCGCTGAGGATTGACAAAAATATTTTTTCAGTACAAATGTTTTTTAACCATCAGTTTGCCGCGACCCGATGATTTCGGCCGGAGGGAGATGTTCATGATTTGGCCACGGCTGTGGGTGTCGGACCACGGTTGTCAATAATAATGTCCCTGTGATTGCGGCCCACGGGAGAAGTTCATGATTTTGCCACGGCTGCGCGTGTTAATAATGATATACCCGTGTTTGTGGCCCGAGGGAGATGTTCACAATATTGCGGTGGCCGCGGTTGTCGATAATGATGTCCCCATGGTTGCAGCCCGCAGGATATGTTCATGATTTTGGCTCACGTTCATCATTTTGACCCGTGATTGTGGCTCACGGGAGATGTTTATGATTTTGTAACAGTTGCGGGAGTTGGTGATGATATTCCGGGATTGCGAGTGACGATGATAATGTCCTGCAATTGTGGCCTGCAGAAGATATTCCTGGTTTTGCCGTAGTGGGGAGTGTCAATGATTATGTCCGCGCGATTGGGACCCAGAGGGATGATTATAATTTTGCCGCGGCCGCGGGTTTCAGTGACGATAATATTATCGTCTCCTTTGTTTTAGGGTAAGTGTCATGATTGTTCCGCGATCATGGGTGAAAATGATGATTTACCCGTGATTGTGGCCCGCTGGAGATATTCACGATTTAATCCGCAATCGCTGGTGACGATGATGATGATAATGACTGTGGGAGATTTTAATGATTTCACCTCTATTGCAGTGAATTCCAACACAGGGGTGGGGGTGGGGGCAGCTCAATTAATTTGCCTAGGGCCGCAAGTACCTTAAATCTGGCTCTGAGTACAACCATAGATAAAACATACTCCCTTAGTTGATTTCTCATCCTTATGGAACAGCTGAAGCCACTTATAGTTATGCCATTCACAGTAACCAAACTTGTGTGTGGGATTTCATATAGGATACACAATTGGTATCGATCGCACAAAATCCACACAAAAAATATGGAAACGGCATGTCACATGTTTAATTACCTGTAGACAAGGTAGGTATTATTGATAAAAGCGGTATTATAAAACCGGTAGTATTTAACCGGTATTATAGATAAATTATAGAAATCTCTTTGTAGATTTTTATCCTTATGGAACAGCTGAAGCCAATTTTATTGTTAGTTCTGCCCGGTGCACTGTTTTGTTTACAATTTGTTTCTTGTTATTTCAGTCATTTAAAACCTCCTTTAATAAAATAAAACGATCTATCATAAATAATAGCTCGTCCTCATAACCAAACAGTAAAGCCCAAATCATAAAATTAACCCTAAAATAATAGTAACAAAATTTCGTCGACACTAGTGGTCAGAGTCACCGGACATGAACTAGACATGAAAAACAAGCTTCAAAATTTACAATGGGATGAGAAGTCTACTTGTGTTATGTTAGTCCATGGTTCAACTCTGAGCAAACCTTATGTTCAGGACTCACATGTATTGTAACCGCACAGCTCAGGGGTGGTACCTAAATGGGGATCAAATAAAAGGCTTCAATAGACGACATTTTACTGCAAGTAAATTAAAACTTTGACAAACTGAACAAATTTCTACAAAAAACAAAATCTAACAAAAATTCATTACTATTAAACTAGGTAAATGACCAGCACAAATGCTAAAATAAAAACAACAGTGAATTAAAAGCATAGGCCTACAGTTAAAGAGCAATTACCTTTTTACTACAACATAAATTAAAATTAAAAATTGAGAAATAAACTTCTAACTATAATTCTTTTTTATGTTAAATTTTGATTTATCATTTTTGAGTTGGCGAGCAGCTATTATACAAGACTAGTGCACCTGTTGCTCGAATTCGAGCAATTGCAAAGTATTCCATGCGTTATTTCAAAACAAACACCTGTCATAATTTCCAATGACTTAAAAGAGTCAACTCAAAGATAATGTAATCAATCACTCCACTCCAGTTCTCGAAACTGAAATTGAACTCACTCTGAAAACAATAGCTGTTATGTGCGGATTTCCCTATGATTGATCTGGTGGCCGTAGAGAATAAATTATATTGATAGAAATAAACAGTAAACAGTTTCTGTCAAACAAAATAATGTTTAAATAACACATTATGGTATAATAAGTTAACAAATACACTTTTCCTTGTTCAAAATCGTGTCTGTTTTTAACAGGAACTATTGAAAGTGAGGTTATAAAAATAATAACAAATGTCTGACAAACATTAAACAGCTGACAAATCATTTAATAAACTGTGTATTATCATAGACAAAAAGAATGAAATATAGACTGTCAGCCGTGCTGCGGTTGCCATGGTTACCATAGGTTCAGGCGCACACCGCTGTAGTTTACGTAGCGCGTACGCCGTAACTACCGTGGTGCTCCAAGCGGTGTGCCCCAGAACCTATGGTAACCGCAGCACAGCTGACGGTCTATATTTAATTCTTTTTGTCTATGGTATTATATTCTTCAATCAGAATTTTAATGACTCGACCTTTAAAGGGCTGGAGGTCTTAGCCCTTAGGAAAAACAAAAAATTCGAAAGAAGTTCGGCAAATCTACGCATTATCTTCTTTAATTTATAATTTGAGACATAAATCTTGTAGATCGGTCCAGTAATGACTGAGAAAACAGACTTACAACTGTGTATTAAATATATAGATTGTGCAAAACTGACTACAAATAAAACAAAAGGCAAACAAAGGGACATGATGTATTAAACCTTTTTGTTTTGCTAACATTATATTAAAGCAAGATGTAACGTTGTAATTGAACTGATTGTGGATAGCTATTTTAATGAAATGTAATTATGAGGTTGAGGTGTGAATATTATTAGTGAAACACGTTGATAAATAATTAAATTTATTTTATCTCTCAATCTGGAAAGCATTTTATTTAATGATAAACTCATCCTTGTGTATTTAGTATTGTTCTAGCAGGGTGGAGTAATACCATTGTCTAGATAATGGTGAATCTGACTGATTACTAAATTGCGAACTACCAAATACTTAATTCTTAATTAATACTTTCATGCTTTAAGAAAGGGATGAAAAGTTAGTTGATTGTTTGTTTTGTTTATTAGTTTGTGTGGTTAAATAATTTAAAGGTACACTGCTCATCCAAGTGCTTAAGGCCTAGTTTTGGAAAGTCAGAAAATTTTTGAGTGCATTTTTGGGCTTACTTGATGATACATTAGGGCAGGAAAACATTCCTTGTTGGAGTCCTGCAACTGATCCATCCTAACAACAAGGTGGCGCCCTCTCTCGAGCAAATCCCGACCAACTTGGTAATCATTCAAGGGTGACCTGCTGTCAGTTATCCAGACTTGGATGAGCTACGAATTTCCCCCACCACTCATGCCCCTCTCCACTGAGCTAGGCTATCAAAAGTGATATCCCATGTGCCAAGGTGGCAGAATATTCATTCAGAATATTATTGATGATTTTTTTTCTCGATATATCGATATTTTTGTTTTCCTTCACAATCTATATTCCTTCTGTTTTTATCTTCAAACACATTAAAATTACAAATTGACAATTGATCTTGTTTAGGCAAAATAATATTTATACAGTGTGTTTCGAAACTCTCTCCCAAAACTCCCTGGGCATGTTCCTTAGGTCGAAACTCGAAACAGACAAAAAATATCATATAAACATATGCCCTATCTTGCTTTGTTTTCCGTTTGTCAGTGTGTACGTATTTCTTACATAACTTCACTTGAGATGGCCACTTCAAACTTCAGACACATCTTTTGAGGCCGCTGGTCGCCTATTCCAATTTAGAAGAATTCCATTTTGGTGACTAACGGAGTGGCCTGTTTCCAAAAGACCAGATAGTAGAAAACAAAAATTTGAAGGGTGTTTACGCATATTTAGATGACCTGACTGTCTGTGGAAAGGACCAATCGGATCATGATTTAAATTTAAGAAAATTCTTATAAGCCCTTAACAAGTATGGTGCTGATTAATGAAGTAAAGAGTAAGTTCAATCAAACGTCAATTACATTGTTGGGGTATTTGGTTTCTACAAGTCTATTCTATGGCATTTGGCTATAAGTCTATCCACCCCGATCCAGATAGACTGCTATCACTCATGGAACATCTAGTACCATAGGATCAGACTGTATTGAAGCGAGTTTTGGGATTTTTCGCCCATCATTCAAAATGGATCCATTGATTTTCAGACAGAATAAGGAATCTG